TTGGCAAACACTGGGGGGTGAATGCTAGCAATGATCTCCTATGATCTCTCCTTCTAGAGGAGGACGCTGCTTCCCTTAATGAGGTGCACCAGTTTTATGTGCACACAGCAATCTAAATATTGTAGGACTCTGGACCTTGCCATCCCCTGCAAACCAGCCTCAGAGGTGCATTTTTACTCTCCTAGAGTTGCTTTACTTCAGCAGAAGAACCATCTTCAGAGGGTTTCCTGCTGGAGTGGTGGCTTTTGACAGGAACCGGTCTCCAAGGTGGGCATCTCCTCTGCAAACCTAAAATTGAGATGGAATTGGCAATGGTAAAGCTACAAAGGGAGGCAGGCCCTCCCTGCTTTCACAAACCCCATGCTTTCAGAAGAGGGTGGCATCATTTCTGCAGAATGCTTCAGTGGCCTCAAATAACACACTGAACTGTCAGGCACAAACCCAAGCGATGGCGTGAGCCAGCTCTGAAATAATGAGAAGCTGATCTACAGCTTTTCCCCTCTGGTTTATTAAATGAATGCTCCACATGCCACTTCCCACTGACTGGAGACAGAGCAAAAATCCCAGGACAGTAACTCATCATCCTTTCTTCCCCTGAGAAGATTCAAGGCTGTAGCTATGTATGGATGTTGCAAAGTGATAAAGTTGCTGCGGCTTCGCGAGTTACCACGCACCGCCTGAGCTGCGCTGCCTGACCACGCACACGCTGCCGGCTCCCTGCAACTGGGTGGTAAAACATGTTCACTCACGATGGGGCTGGAGCAGGTACACCGGCAGCGGGCTCCAGATAAGCACGCTCTGTTGATAAGCAGCGCCTCATTAGGCCCCGGGACTCAACCGCTTGCAGAGCAATCCTTGGCCCAGATGTTCCTCTTCTTTTCAAGTCGTAGGCTTCAGTCACGGAACTGGCAATGGGACGGCGCTCTGGGAAAGCGGTCAATATCGAATTAATCCTTGTATGTAGAATGGAGAGGAAGAAGAGTCCAGATCTGTGCCAGAGAGAAGGAATAGAGAAGGATCAGCCAACTGTATTGCTGAGTACAGCCTCAGCAGAGCCGTGCCTGGGTGAGGACGTTGCAGATGACACGTGGAGATGACCCAGGCAGTGAAACTGGAGTGCTCTGAATTCTCCTGGGATCAGAGTCCCTGGAGAGAAGTTACATCACCATTTGTGCTTTCCAAGACTGGAGCAAGGTCTTGCCCTGGGCATGATTGAACATAAAAAACATGCCAGGCCCCTTGACTCCAGTAAGCAGGACCAGACCTTCTCTTTGGCTTCATACCTCAAAAAAACAGCGTTTCTTTGGAGGTCCTGCTCCTTGCCACCACCTAGAAGCCAAGTGCCCTCTTGCCTGAACCATGGTTTGGCCTCAAGGCTCAGAAAACTGAATCCAGACACAGCTCTCCAGGACCTATTCCAGCTCCATCTTCCATCTCCATCTTCCATCTTCCATCCCACCATAAGCATCTGCATTGAGGGGACACATTTTCTACTTATTTTCAATCCTCATGCTGAAGGCAAGCAGGACACTCTGCCATCCAACAGGAGGTCAGGCTTATATGCTCATCTGTAGTTGTCTTGGAGATCACGGCTTGGGGAGCAAGCAGGGGACAAGCACAGATGCCTTAAGGGAAAGCATCCGATGACAGCTTGAGTGGTGGGACAAAGTGTGACGTGTGTTTGTTTAGATAGCCAAAGGACTTGGAACAAATGTCTGTGGCTCATGTTTTAGATAAAAGGAACCCAGACTTGTGAAGGTATCAGGAGGGATGGTGAGAAAATGCTTATCAAGAATCCCTTGGCCCCCAGACCCTTTTATAATAGAATCAACTATAATACAAGGAAAAATAACAACAGAAGAAAGTTTTCACATCTCAGAGATGCTCACTTCTTTCTGAACCAGGATATTTTTGGGATGCCAGCGGCAAGATCAGTGATAGGGGCTACAAATCTGGGGTTACCTGTGGTCCATGAACCAAAATCTTGGGGCGTTTTGCCCCTGAGTGCCCTGTGTTTTGCTCCTCGTCTCCCACCTGACCCACCACTGCTGCTCGGCTGGGAGGGAAGAGTGGGACATGGTGGTGCCAAGGGGACAGGGACTGCCACATCCGCATCCATCTGGCATACTGAAGCAGAGACTGAAGGAAAAGGAAGGAGGGGGTGGGTAAAAGAGAAAATCCCAAAGATCCTCGGATAATAAGCACCATTAAGGTTAGTCTGTCTCATGATTGTTTCTTATTAAAAAGAGACTGTACTTTATCTGTGCAGGATATGCTGTTTGGATGAGGGAATTAGCAGAGTGACTGCCTCCATATCATCTAATTAGCAAAAATGTTGATAAGCAGATACAATCACATATGATTAGGATCCTTTTAAAAAGCCACTCCATTAATTAAATAGACAGAAAGGCCGCCTCCAGCCCTCGCGTGCCACTGATTAGAATACAAATATTTACACTAATCTCACCTCCATCAGCCATGGGACACTTTTGAGTATTTTTAGTGACATCAGATTACTATTGATTTCCATCCCCAATGTCAGACCATTTTGTTAGTATCTGAAAGTGCTGCCTTCAGTTTCGGATGCTTTAAATCATGTTAAGGGTTTATCTTAATGACGCTGCTGATAACCACTGTTCAGGTCACTCGTACTTTCTCTTCAAAGAACACAGTCTGGGCTGGTTTTTATTGTTTGTACTTGAGATTTGAGATACGAAAAACATTTCTCATTTCAAAGCCTTGGTTTCTAGGGATGGGGCTGCCAGGCTAGTTTGGGTCTAGTTACTTGCAGTGTGCATGCCTCTCCCATTTTCCTTTCTCCCCATCTCTCCTCGACCCTTTCTTTTTTCCTTGCAAACCCTTCTGGCTCACAACAGTGGTCTCTGTTGAATGGCTGCTAATCTCTGATGCCTGCCTGCTGCAGGCAGCAGACAAACAGGCAGTGAGTGTCCCCCGCTACAGGATGACAGGAGAAAAACACTCCCTATGTTTTAGATGGGTAGGACACACTAAATCCAGGACAGATAATCTACTGCGCCAGCAAGTCTGATAGGCACTCTGCAGCGAAAGCAAGTCCTGGAGGAGATGCTTTGCAGAGACAGCCCAAGGCAGGGCCACCTCCTTCCTTCCGCGCGCAGCAGATAACAAGCCTGGGAGCTTCCAATAGGGCTCTTTCACCTGTTTCTGACATCCCATTTTCACTTCTGGGTAGCAGAGAGCAGGAACAGCAATTGCTCCTGAAGTTTCTGCCAAGCATCTACAAAGAGATCACTGTGGCAGAGGATAGGAGAATGCTGCACCTTTTGGAGGCTTGTGGGTGGGAAGCCTGGATCATCCTCAAGTCCAGTGTACAGTCGGCCGCCAGACCAGCACTGTGCTGCTTAATGGCAGCCTCTATCACAGGGCCAGAATACAGTGATTACCTCCATAATGCTGCCTCATCACTGACCAAAGAGGAAACCAGCCCAACAAAGTCCTTCCTCAGTGCCCATCATCTCCAACACTTTTCTTTCCTCCTTCACCATACTGCTTTCTACAAGCTGACATGGCTCCCTCTTGCCATCATTGCTCCACACTTACAATGTGTGTTAGAGCAGCAGTGGGCTCATGTGCTGTGCATACACTCTCTGGTATGATCAGCTGTTTACTCCTTCCCAAAGTGTGGGATAATGGAAATGAGGGCAGTGATCTGCAACCCACACTGCCATTAGTAGGTGTTTATGACAGGGTTACAGACAGCTGAGTTCTCATTGTTGGCACTTCCTTGGAGACCTCCTTCATGCAATGATTCCCTGCAAAGATATTGCATTTCCCACCGGAATGACAAAACCAGGGAATAGAAACAGATGCAGGAAAACCTCACACTGGATCAGGGAGTTCAGCTCCTCAGACTGAACTTGTCAGTATTGAGCTTATGCAGCATCCCTGCTGTACCTAGGCCAACTATCCCAAAGAGCACATAGAAAAGAAGCTAAGGTTGTTAATGAGCTTCATTCTGGACATTTATTTTGGTGCTATCATGGGAGCTAAGTTCTTGCAGAGGTATTAGGTCTGGGCATAAATATACATTATGGTCATCTAATCATTATTTTAGGTGAAAAGGTCCACTTTGGGTTTAAAAATGGACACACAAGGAGGTTGTAGTAATTCACTACCTTCACTGTGTAGGATATGCAACACATTAGGAGTTTTAACTTGCTAGTGCCACCTTCCAACTGCTTTTCCTGAGAGTCTGAAGACCTCTGTACCATCAAATCTCTGTTTTCATCCAGGGTCTTACAGGATATGATGAAGCTGGTGTTGAACTTCCTCTTAATATCAAGAAAATTTCCCCGAGCATTTCACTCCAGAGCGTGTTTTCCAAACCCCTGATCACATCTTAGGGCTCTTTCCTGTGCCCAACTTATCAGCACTCTCCCTGAGCTGTGAATGGCTCTAAACTACAAACAGCTTTCCTGTAGCTGCTGCTATAGGGTAATAATGTCCTATAGAATTAACATGACCTGATGACATTACACTTCTCTGGACTGCACACAGATCTATACTCAGTATTTAAGAATCCCACTTTTGGGCAGACAACACAAAAACTGATCTGACAAAGCCGTACATCAGAGATACGATATTGCAGCTACGTTGGACAACTGCATCATGTACACAACCAACATTTAAGAACATAAGGCCAATGGCAACCAACTCCACCCCAGAATGTGGTTTGATCACCTGAGCAACAATTGGCTGAACGCGCTCTGAGGTCACAATCTCACGATCTGGGAACAGCAGGCTTCAAAAGGAACAATCCTGTAACACGGGACTCAGCTTCCTATGTGGTCCTGTAACACCAAAAGACAAAGCAGAGCAAGGGATGAACTGAGCCTGACCCCAGGCAGTGCAGTGGCAGTGGGTGTCCAGGAGCCTCTGGCTGCAGGACATCTCCAGGCTTCGTATCTGTGGTGAGAGAGAGGTGCCAGGCTACTTCCAAGCAGTCTCAGCTCTCTCCTGAGATGGTGGATTATTACAAAATCCTCGAACTGCAAAAAAGTGCCTCCCAGGATGATATCAGGAAATCCTACCACAGACTGGCACTAAAATGGCATCCTGATAAGAATCTCACCAACAAGGAGGAAGCCGAAAATAAATTCAAAGCTGTCACTGAGGCATACAAAATTTTGTCTGACCCTCAGAAACGATCACTCTATGACAGATCTCTCAAGGAAAGCCAATCCCATATAGGAAGAAGAGCCACGGGGGACCATAACAACTTCTTTGATATCGCTTACATATTCCAAGATCCCGAAAATATCTTTAGGGAAGTCTTTGGAGGGATGGATCTCTTCAACAACATCAGAAACAGTGGAAGAGGAAGCAGCTCCAGTTTGTATTCTGGATTGATGCAGTCCTTTATGCCATTTACTTCATTCGGTCACAGTGGGCAGACCATCTTCTCCTTCGTTGAGGAAACAGCTGGGCCGCGTAGTTTCAGATCAGTCTTAACCTCTACTGAAGTGGTCAACGGCAAGAGGATCACCACCAGGAAAATCATTGAAAATGGGCAGGAGAAGATAGAAATTGAAGAAGATGGCCGGTTGAGGTCTGTGTCAGTAAATGGAAAAGACCAGCTGAAGCTGTAATGTCCCCCAGCACACACATCAGATGCAAGGTGTGGGACATGCTCTCATTGCTCAACAAATGGAATCTACTGTGAGCGGTGTTAATAAAAGCTGAGCTCGTGGCACAACTGATGTCAGCTTCTGAACAGCCTGGAACAAATTACTGACAGGTAGAGATAAGGAGTTATGCTAAACTAAGGAGAGGAACTATACTGATTTTATGTAAGGTGATATATAGTGTTTGGTCTGGAAATACACAGTAAATATACACTAAATACACACAAGAGCTACCTTGCTTGTTTGTCAGAGGCCAAGTTAGTAAAGCAAAAGGATAGTTGATGAACAGGTATGAGGGCTATATGACAAGCTGGAGGCTGTCCTCCCAACCCCTGAAATTGACCCTTTTTAAATGTCCGAGCCTGCTAGCCAGAAGAATAAAGGCTCTTGTCTGACTGTCATACACAGTCCTGAGGCTGAGTGAAGGGTGTCCCGCCTTTAGGCGCTGGAATACAAGATATATTCATTGAAACATTTTTTGTACACTAGCAAGAAAGTAGGGGAGGTTCAGGGGTAATGAAGAGCCCTCTCCCCCCTCCTCTTTATCTAGTGAGGATGTATCGACCTGTAGCCCAATATGTAGTAAGGAGAGGGATTGCCATGGGAAAAAACAAAGGGAGAGTTTGGTGAGGAAAAGAAGGAAGAGAAAGCTGTTCCATAAAAGAAACTAGGGTATCCCTTGAAAATGCCCTGAAAACTATATCTGGAGATCCCTGCGTAGCTTGGGGGCGGAAAACAAGCAGGCAGAAGGTGAATTTGGGTCTTGAACTGGGACAATCTATGGTTCCTTTCTGCTTGGAGTTGTTCAGACAAAGCCAGCTAAATTCAAACCATGAGCAAACAGAATCCAGGGGGCTGAATTTAGCTCCCTCTTTGTGCAAAGCTGAACATGGGGAGCTCGATGGTGCTTTACCATCCTCATTGTCTTGCTCACAGCTGCTAGAGCCAGCTTACAATGCACTTCTTGCACAGCCTGGCAGCATGCTGCTTTCGTCCTCCACTGAGCTGAGGAACGCGCTCCCCATGTTTCTGCCCCCCCCCCCCCCCTTGTGCTGACATGAACCACAGAGCCTTGTTTCTTGCTTGGCCAGATCACCTTAGGCATTTAAAATCTTACACGCTTTATTTTCAGTCCTACACTACATCCCCTTGAGTTTCCCAGCTTGCCCTGCCCACTGATGTCTCCCTGGAGGGTAGAACTGGTTTTCAGGGACATTTTCACTCTAATCCAGATTGCAATTGCTGCCTGCATTTGGGCAGGTCTTTGCATCTGTTTCCTCTGCAGTGAAATGGGAATAACAGGCTCCTGTGCTTTGAAGGAGACTGCAAAGCAGTGATATACATAAAGGTCTCCCTCGCTAAGTTAAATTAGCCAGAATACTGCAGCCACTTAACAGAAACGTTTTACTTCTGAAAGGAAAAACACAGCACAAATTGCTATCCTTTGCAAACTGATGCCATGCCCTGCTTGGAAAAGAAATAGAACAAAACTGAATTTGCTGTGTTAAGGCCTCTTAAGTTCCTGTGAGAGTCCCTCTCCCATAAAAAAAGGATACAGCACTGAGAGGCAAGTGGATGTGTAAGGACTTGCTGGGTCTGTAGAAGGAAGCCAGCAGCGATGGGAGTAGGGAGAGCCCAGTGGTACAATCCCTGTCTGCTGCTGCTCCATGGTTTGGGAGCCAGAAGGAGCCCTGCAGACACAGGAGCCCTGGGGATTGCAAAGAATTTGTTGGTTTTACGAATTGGCAAAGATTATTATTTTGGGCAGAGCAACACAATTACTTATTTCTACCAATATTCTCTGTGCTCACTACGTGAGATGGCCATTCGAATTTACCTCATGTTACTTTGGAGGAAGTTCAAGGGTTTATTAAAAAAGAAAAGCACATTTTGGATCGGAAACTGAAATGGTCTTTGATCAAAATAGCATGTTTTGAAATCTGGACCAGAGTTGAACAGCCCAGCCCCTAACATTTTCAGCTTGCTGGGCTAAAACTTTGCCTCAGTCTTGTCCCTAGTCTGATATTTATGTGCATGTCCCTTAAGATGTGCATAATCTGTGATCAATCTATACCTATCCCAGACCCAGTCTGCTTGGGATGTTATATCACTACTTAAGACAGCACCCAAGAGAGAGCACTTCCTTTTCCCATCCCTCACTCAGAACATTTCTGTCACCTCTTGCAGCCACAGAGAGCTCCTGTAGCAGCTCTGGCAGCTGCACACACCAAAACTTGCTCTTTGGATTATGGGAACATGGATTGGGAAAAGACTCAGTTTGCTCACCCAGCAAGCGCTGGGTCCAGGAGGAATGCAGATCTTCGTCCACAGCTCCTTGTGCTCTGCAGGGCACATGGCAGCTCTCAGCACTTCCTGCAAGTAAAAGAGTGGAGATTAAGAAAATGATAAAAGAAAGGAAAAAAAGAAAAAAAAAAAAAAAGGAGAGAGACAGCCATAAATGGTAGGTGGTAAGAAAGCAAGTTGGACTGCACTGGCTATGGCCCACATTGCGGCAATAGCGAGAAATCTGCCAGGTGTGTGCCCAAACCACCTGTAGGAATGGGTTGTGCCTCTGCTACAAAAATAAATCTTAGCCAGTGTTGCCAATATGGCCTTGGAAGAAATCATTTGCTTGTGCAAAGGACAGTCTCTCCCAGTACTGCATCGTCCCTGTAAAAAGCCATGTTTTGGGACTCTCCCTGGTGAGCTTGCACACACAGCTGGTCCACAAGGAGGACCACAAGCTGTGACAGCAGAGCTCAGCTGGTAATGGGCTGGTTGAGAATGAGCTCTGCTTGAAAGCAGAGTATGGGGGCAGTTTGCAGTCTCCTGCTGTAGGACTGGAGCAATGGGAAGAGCACACATAGCAGAGGCAGCTCAAGTCCAGCCAGCAGCCTCTCGGAGAGGCTGAGTCATTATTTTATTAGCAGGCCCCACAACTACTTTAATGTGGGCTTAGACTGCAAAAACAAAAACATACATAAAAGCATTTGGAATTACTTCATAAAATACTAAATCACAATATTAACCAACTGACCTTTGCTCTATGCAGACCTGCTAATTTTAGCAATTACAGCCAACAACTTGAACATATCAAGTGGGCAACTGTTTAACAATAATGACATCTGCTTGGAAAATCCAATTATGTCTAAACATCTTTAAATCCCCACTAGGGGATACCTGCTTTCTTTTTGCAACTGTTAGTCTCTGCCTAATAGGATTTTAAACTCACAGCCTGCTGCACACTGCGGTGGCGGTGGCCCCTCTCCCTGGAGTGGCAACAACAGGACTGCGATCACATTAAGCGGGGAGTGAGTCTCTCTCCTCAGACAGTGATGGAAGTGGTTGGGTTTTCTGACAGCCTAATCTGATGGACGGGTGCATTAGCTGGATCCCTTCACTCTCATGTGCCCCCAGCACTGAGCTGGGTTCTGCAGCCGTCAGAGCCTTTTGTGGGGTCACCAAATGAGTTTTTCTCCTACAAGGTTTTGTCTCCTAGGCTGACTTCTGCTTCTCTCACTGTCTCTTTTCTCCCTTCCTCCCTCCTCTTATCCCCAGCTACTTAAATCCCCTTGCTGCTGTTTCTTGCTTTTCTTCTCCATAACAGGAACCCCTAAAGACAACAGCTATGCAGAGGCTTTTGCAGCTGTATTTTTGGCCTGAAGGTGGTTCTTGCCAAGAAGAGTGACGATAGACAAAACAGGGACCAGTAGAGAAGAGTGAGCATGAGACCACCCAACTCTCCAACAAAGTACCCCAATACAGAGCAGCATCATCCACCACAAAGCCAAAGGTCCATATTCAGCCTCCAGTTATACTCTGCAGCCCCCTGATCTGGCAGCAGCTCCATGGCCCCACTCCTGATCACTCAGCACCCCAGGGCTGCAAAGCTATTGTCAGATATTTGAATCAAGATACAAGAACTGAATATTTCCGTCCCTTCTCCTCCCTCCCTGGCCAGCCTGGCTCTCTTCTGATGGAGCGTGCAACAAAATCACAATCACATGTTTGCAGCAGTAGGAGGCCATTGGCATGGAAGCGGCTGTGATGTCACTACAAACATTTCCACCCTATCCTATTTCTCCAGAACAGTCTCCGTTTTTATGACCCCATCCTGAGATCTGCAGGAAATCAAATTGTCCTGATGCTATTTTGAGCACTGGTGTCATGGCATCAATATATAATGATGCGGTGTCAAGCTGGAGAGGCTCGAGCGCGCTGCGGCGGTGTCACAGCCGGTTTGTTTTGTGCAGCTCCACGAGCCTGGATTGCAGCCCTGCAGATGCCAGGCTCGTGCTGGGACTGCTGGGGACATGCACGCCATGCTGATGGGATGGGCTCTGCGGGCAGGATGTAGAGCAGCACTGACTCTCAGCCCTCTTGCAATTACTGGGGATCAGCAACTCAGGCACAGCAGTGCCGTGGGGCAGAGTGGTTCCTACAGGTGCCAGCCAGTGTGGTTGCAAAGTATTTGTGCAGGGCAATGGGGGATGGACAAGGGAAAGAGATTTGAGGGCAGACATTCACTAGCAAGGTAAGCCCAGGGCAAGAAGTCCAGCCATTTGGGTGGTGGCTGTCTGACCGATGCAAGAAGCAATGCCCAGCTTCCACAAACTCTAATCTAGGATTAACTTCTAAACAAAACGGAACTTAGGTTGAACATCCCCTGAGATTCAGTAAGAGGTTTAGATCTCATTCTGCTCCTAAAACTCTTCTCCCATACTCTCCACCAACATGTGAGGCCCTCCAGGCTGGAGCACTCCCCTGAGCCTGCATCTCATAGGGAAGGATCCGGCCCTGAGATATCTCCTGGCAATTTAGGTGCAGCAGCATCTCTACCTGACTTATCTCCTACACCCAAATCTTATCTGCTCCCCAACAAACATCAGATGTAATACAAGGCATACACAAAATGTTCCTGAATTGAGCTCTCCAGCAGAAGCAACATCTGCAGCAAAATTTTA